CCCCCCCCCAATCTGCCTTTTCACCCCAAAACCTGCCTCAGCCTCCAAAACCTGCCCTGTCGCCCTCACAACCAGCGCCCACGCCCCCAAATGTGACCTTTTTACCCCAAACAATGACCACCTTCCCACGGTCACCTGTCACCTCCATGCCTCTGTCGCAGTCCCCCGGGTATCCTGCGCTGGCCATGACCACGCACACGGCCGTGCTGCTCTCCGACCAGGCTGGCATGAAGCTGCAGAGTTTGCCATCAATCGTTGCCTGAATCACTTCATAGAAATCATTTTTAAGCAGGGGAAGAATTACCTGCAGAAAATTTTCACAGTAACAGAAGATTTATTTTGCTGACTTGCTGAAGTTCAGCTGAGGGGAAATTCAATCAATAGAATAAAAGTTGTATGTGCTGAACCAGCAGATTGGGAAACTGTGGGTGAGCATTTAATTTGCAGCATTTTTTGGCACCATAAGTTTAGACACATGAGATGTGAACTTATGTCGAAGGAACATGCATTTAGGCCCAGCCCATTCTGCTTCTACTCAGAAAAACAAAAATCTGAGGAACAGTTCTTTAACTTAAAGCCTTTAACTAACAATTCACAGGAGTTGATCAGCCAAAGTTTAAAGTTACCTCATACATTGTCTAAGATGTTTGCATCCAGATCTTTCCCTAGAGATGTTACAGCAGTCAGATATAAAAGTGTGAAGCATCTTTAATTACCCAGTACGTTCCACTTACCTGGCACTGGGGATCCCCAAACTGACACTTAAAGTTTAAAATCTTCACCCCCTCTTTGGTCAGCATTAAACTTGTTTGCAGCACACCTGGACAGAGGGAACACAGCCAAGCAAAGGAATTGAAACATTTATTGTTTTCAAGGACTCCTTTAAATGCCACACATTACTTTGGAATGTGGGAATAATTTCTGCAAATCATAAGGAATTAGGAGCAAGGCACTGAGTGACATCTGTGGGCATCACCTGCCTTTGCCAAAACAACCTGCACATAAAGATGTGAGGAAAATGTACACTGGAGTGAACACTATGGCTGAACTTCAGTATAGGTTATGCCCTGAACTATGAATATGTTTTAATTGCAACTATTCAATAAAATTTAGTGTGTTTCATGGAGAAATGACCAAAGTTCTTCTCTCCAAAGGAAGAGCTATAAACCAAATGAGTGAGGTACGAAAAATGAACAGCTGCTGGTTTGGCTTTTAAACAAGTACTATTTGGAATTCAGAAGCAACCTCTGACAATGGAACTTACCTGGACGGGACTGTGCCTTGGTTAGCAGCTGAGTGGTTACTTACCCACATAGGCTGTTCCCTCTTGTCTCATACTGTCAACAACATGCTGGAGGATTGCACCCCTGATCTGCTCTAGAAGAACTTCTGGAACCTGACAACCAACATCAAACTGGTTGGGACGGTGATGACACTGGCTGGACTTGCTCATAGGACCTGGAAGGACTGGGGTGAGGAAGGGGCTGTTTGCTGCTGTCCCACCCCGACCCGTGAGCCCCTTCCCTTGGGCTGCTGCTGCCTGAAGGATGGACACACCAATCCTCTGCCTCCCAAGGTTTTTTGGTTGGTTCTTAAGGAGGTCTGAGACTGGCAACCTGGGCTGTACACAGGCAGACTTGGAGAAAGCCACACTAATAATGTGTGTGAGCAGCGTATTTACAGCAAGCCTGCAAAGCTTTAAGAACCAAGAACCCCAAGGTTATGTTCACAGAGACCCTGGGCACACAAGGGATTTTGCAGGAATTTTTGAAGTGATGCAAATGGGAGCAGAGAAACACCAAGTCTGGGAATACTGGAAGAGGTAGAAGAGAGGCCATTCCACAGAACACTGGCTAAATTAATTAAATCCTAAAGAATGATTATTAATGTTTGAGCCCTGTAATCAATCCCACAAGAAATGTGGATAGAAACAAGAACTGGAACAGGCTCCCCAAGGCAGTGGGCACGGCCCCAAGGCTGCCAGAGCTCCAGGAGGGTTTGGACAACGCTCTGAGGGACAGGGGGGAGTGTTGGGGTGTCCTGGGCAGGGCCAGGGCTTGGACTGGATGAGCCTTGAGGGTCCCACCCAGCTCAGAACATTCTGTAAGATTGTAAGACTGGGCCCTAAAGAAAATCCCTGGAGCACAGGCTGAGCAGGAGCAGGGCCCTACCTGAGGGACTGGACAATAGGCTCCCATCCCTCCAGTGTTGGGGCCCTGGTCCCCATCCAGTAACCGCTTGTGGGCCTGGGCCGGGGGCATGGGAGCGATGGTGACACCGTCCGTGAAACACGAGCACTGTGAGGACAAACACACAACAGGAACGGTGACAACGGCCTGGCCCGAGGGACAGCCACTGCTGGTCACAGCCCGGGGCTCAGTGCTGCTGGGAAATGTGGGAATCACAGCATCCCAGACTGGTTTGGGTTGAGAGGACCTTAGAGGTCATCTTGTTCCACTCCCTGCCATGAGCAGGGACACCTTCCACTAGAGCAGGCTGCTCCACGTTGTTCCAATTACCAAGACAAAGTCCATATAAACATGTTTTAGGTCTCTTTAGGAAAGATCATTTCCCACCAAAAATAATCACCATAATTGCCATTTTATGGCTAATGTAGAAGAAAAACCTAGGACAGCATGCATTGATTACTATGACATCATACTGCATATATATAACATGCAATCTAAGCCATGTATGTATACATATATTTCTCAAAGTGCAAATAAAACAAAAGAGCAACTACTTGAAACAATAAACTCGTGTGTTTATGCAGGAGCAGAGCAATGATGCCAAAGAATACAAGCACAACATCACCCCATCAATCACATACAGAAAGTTCTTCCCCTTGAAGAAGTTCTTCAATAACAACCATCTCTCCAAACATTCTGTCCTGTAAAAAACAAAACAAGACCAAACAAATCCCCAGTTAGCAAACAAGAATCAGCTGGCTAAATTCGCTCTTCAGTTTCTTTTAACAGAAAAAACAATGTATCTTAGAAGTCCCAGCTTTCTTAAATGCTGATGTGTTGGGCACAGCCAATGGCACTTCATTTGGAGACAAGGAAGCCACACTGAAATGCACTTTAGCAGGCCCTGGGAGCCAAGGAAAAATTAAAATTTGGAGGAGCAGGGCAGTGGGACTCAGGACTGGAGCAGGAGTTCAGTCACCAAATCTCCAAGCCCTGTCTGGGGCACACAGGAGGAATCTGAGGAGGACACCCAGAGAAATTCTCAAATGGGCAAGTTTCTCCCCAAAGTATTCGCCTCCTGTAGCTGGAATGACAAACTCACAGACTACAGAACATCCTGACTTGGATTCCCAGTGGTTAATTAGGGATTTATGCACCTGCATGATCTCCTGGGCAGCTCTGCAGGCCTCCTCCTTGCTGGCTGTGATGGTCACCTCCTTCCTGGCCGCAGGGCCCCTCGCCCGCACCACTCGTGCAGGGAAGTCCGTGCTTCAAGGAGAGCAAAGGCAGGTTCAGGCACCACTTCTGCATCCAGGGAAATCCTCATTTTTCACCTCAATGCCTCCCATAGTCTTACTTTTTTTCCCCCCGAGTGCTTGAAGAACAACAACGCATCAGAAAAACGTAATTTTTTTTGTCTTTTAAATGGTTTATTAAGCATCCCGAAGGAGCTGATGGAAGGGAAGAAGAGCTGGGATCTGTGAACACAAAACCAACCTACTTCAGTTCACAGAATCATAGTCACAGACTGGTTTGGGTTGGGAGAGACCTTAAAGATCATCCAGTGCCACCCCCTGCCATGGGCAGGGACACCTTCCACTAGCCCAGCTTGCTCCAAGCCCCGTCCAACCTGGACACTTCCAGGGACTTCCACTACCCTGGGTGAAGGCCAGATGCACACAGAACTTGGCAGAGGAGCTTCCAGTGTCCCAGTATTCACCTGGTGATAAACCTACAGGCTTCCTGGGCGTTGCTGAAGGCTTTCCATCGTGCTGTTGGGATCCCGTGTCGATCCAGAAAGGCTTTAGTGAGGCTGGTGTTGGATGCCAGCCGGGCTGCCTTGGCAGACGGGCCAAAACACCGAACTCCTGCCGCCCTCAAGTCATCCACAATCCCTGAGCACCAAAAACAGCACAGGAACCAAGGGGACCCCTTGGAAACATGAAGTCATTCGACAAAAGGAAATTCCCATCATTATTCCAGCCCTGGTACACTTTTCCTTGTCTCATATAATTAATTAATCCTTAAAATGAGGTTCTGAATATCCGTGACCTGTTTCATGGGGCAGTTTAAGAGCTCTTTAGCTCTGTACATTACCAAGCACTGTCACAGTTACCCCCCCATTTTAAATCAGAATTTAAGGTGCTGATTTTTTTCTGTCAATTTATTTCAGCCTTACCAGCTGCCAACAGAGCTTCCTCTCCAACTAACACAAGTCCAATGTTGTGATCTTTGCAGAACTGGGTAACAATTGTGTGATTGCTCACCAAGACAGCTGAAAAGGAAAACAAAATATAATTAAATGACCACTGTAAAACCTAAATAAAGATGGGAGATGAGAATACCTTTGTTCCATCTCCCTATTTCAAATAATGAAACAGCCCATGAAGGGCAAAATAAAGCAACGATTTAATAATTAGAGTCCAAAAGGAGCAGTGAACATTGCCACTTTGCACTACTGTTTTTAATACACATTGCTAACTTATTAAATCTATTTTATTTATTTGTCACATGTAACCAAGATAAACTTTTAAAAGCTGCTTATCATAACAATAACAGCATTGAAAAATAAAACTATAAGTTCAGAAGGAAACTCAATGTCAACATCTGAGCAAAGGTTTACCCAAAGCCAGGGCACGAGCTAAATTTCACTGGGCAGCCTGGGCAAACACAGGGGGAGTTTCTACTCAGAGTTTAGAGCTTTGAGCCCTCTATTCCAGGGTTTTTCAGAAAAAATTACACGGAAAAAAGTAAATATGTGCCTAAAATAAGCTGTGGCACCAGTAAAAAGAAAGAGCAACTGTTACCTCACACCACCTCAGGACGCTGTGGGTGGCTTTGATTCAGTTCCTGCACCAGCAGCACTGATGGCCTGGCACAAGATTTTATTTTATATCCCCCCTATTACCTGAATTGGAAATTTTTCCATTGTCAGCTGTTCCTGCATT